TTAGCAGCAACAGCAGATACTATAGAGGTGGTGAGTGGGATCCCATGCTGTTGGACCTGTGCATAGCCTCAATCCTGGCCTCCAATCAGAAGCCAATTTTGCCTGCACTGGAGAGGCTGATGAGAAAAGATGGTGGATATCAATTCTAAGTCATTTTGGTTACTTGATTGTTTAATGCCTCTTCTATGGTCTGTGGTGTCTAGTGGTAGATAAATGATACAAAGCTCTATAAACCTCATGCACTCCCAGAAGTGCCTCCACATGTCTCTTGTCCAGGCCTCCTATCCCCCAATCATCCAATCTTTCTGTTTTCATGTCCAGACCAGCAAGCTAAGCTGTTTGAAAACATTTTTCATCTATATATATCTTATGGAAGGCTATTTTCTTTCTACACAAAGTGGATGATCAGGTGTAATGCCTGAATCTGGGCCTATTTAGAGAATTTTCTGCCAATACTGACTGTCAAAGTCAACCAGAGTGGGCCAGTAGTTCAGGAGCAGTCCCTTTGTGTCTCATATCCATATACTGAGTCATTCCACATGTGAACCTAGCTCAATTATTTTCGTCTTCTGTCATCTGGTCATAACAGACACCCTGGGGGGCTTGGTGTGAACTGAAATGAGGTGTAACATTAGTAGATGAGAGGGGCTCTGAAGCACCTTCTTATGCAGCTTATTTCTATCCTCTGTCCCTACCTGTGCTTGTCCCAGAAGAACCACTTCCATTTCGGGATGGATTGCTGCTGGCCCTCCTGACAATATGACTTGGTGGCTTTAAAACAACCTAATTAATGATCATGTGCTCTGGTCACATGGCAATTTAGTGTCCTTAGTCATGCTTCAGGTGGCATGAATTTGCTTCATACCTTAGGGCCTATGATGTGATTTTCCTTTGAGAGTTGCCATAAACTTTAGACAACATCTTTTTCCATTCCAGATGATTCTTTTACTGTAGGAAGTATTTTCATGTAATATGACCCATATGCAGTGAGTCTGCTCCCACCTTCTCCAGAGCCCTTTCATATGCTGAGCCCCCCTCAGAGCTGGTAGTCTTCCATGTTACTCGGTAAATAGATTGAAAAGAACTCCAAGTGTGGAAAACACTACCAATAGCAGTGATGAGGCCTTCTAGGCACTGTTTCCTTCATAGCGGTGGTAGAGGTAAAATACAAAAATTTGTCTTGTATTTTTAAGGGTATGTCATGGCATGCCTCAGCCATCTGGAATGCTAAATTATCCCTGATGTTGTGGGCTTCTGAATATTTGCAGTTTATTTCCCCCACTTAGTATCAGATATGAATTGCCAAAGCCTCCAATGTATTGCCATTTCTTGATCACCTACTCTGATGAATATCATGTCATTGATATAAAGGATCAAGTGCTATTCCATAAAATGTGCACACAGTCCACGTCTTTTGGATTACATTATAAAGATAGGGCAGAGAGTTAAACAGAGTCTCGGGACAAAAGGAAAAATGTATATTGTTGCACATCTCAGGTGAATATGAACTACTTTTAGTCTTCTTACTTAATGGGATGGAAACAACACATTCTATAGATTAGTACCCATGTGCCATGAAATGAATCTGTGTAAATTTGCTCTAAAAAAGTCACCACTTGTGGCTAGAAGCTCTAATTGGGTCTAATGGTTGGTTCTATTTCTGGTAGTCCCCTGTTATCCTCTAAGATCAATCAATTATTTGCAGGGCCAGACTTAACTCTGACCCTACAAATAATTAAATGGAGACATGTTGGAAGCAACTACACCTGTGTGCTATAGGCCTCTAAAAGTGGAATAACTTCTGCTATTTACTGGGAATACACTATTGTTTCTGATCTACTCTCTTAGGTGGGAGGTAAACAGTAGTTTTCCAGTTTCCACTTGTTTCTTTCCACTAGGATAGCTTGTACGCCACAGGCCAAGGAACTAATGTGAGGTTTCTGTAAACCTCTGAGTATACTCAGTCCCATGTACACACAGCGAGAGGGGACACAATCGTTTTGAGAATATGGCCCCTGTGGATAAGAATGTGGACTCCGAGTCAGGATGTAATCAGGACACTCTATTATCTGACTCCCCAACTCTTGCTTTAAGAGGGGCAACAGGATGACTTGTTGAGTCCTTCAGTATTAGTGACACCATAAACTCTGTGTCCAGCAGTCCTCAAAATGTTTCCAATGCATGTTCACCCAAGTAAATGGTGTTAGATCTCTCTGAGAAGGACTGGAAGAATCATTCATGTGTTCAATTACTGCAGTATTTCAGAGTTCTTCCTTCTGGGGATAAGGCTTCTCCCCCAGTTAGTGGTTTTGGGTTCTGAGAATTAGCTCTGGTGTGGAAATTAGGTAAAGGATCAGGATTTTTTACTGGGGCTGCTACCCTCAAATTGTTGATTATCCTTCCTTGATTTCTTTTGAGTGTTTATATTAAGTAATACTCTTGTTGGCAGCCCAATTTTTGCCCAAAGTGTTATTGTGTTTCATTAGCCATTGCTACAGGTTTTTTTTTGGTCAGTTTCCTGGGAAAGAGGTTCTGAGGCAGAAACGTATATGCAGGAAGTTTTATGGGAAGTATTCCTAGAACCAACACTTTTAAGCATATAGGGACATGGAGGCTGAAATTGAACAGGGAGGCAGTTTGTGATTTTTAAGAGAAATATTTCCAGTGCCAGCCCGGTGGCATAGTGGCTGGGTTCACGCACCCCACTTTGGTGGCCAGGGGTTCATGGGATAGGATCCTGGGTGCGGACCTGTGCACCGCTCATTGAGCCATGCTGTGGCAGGTGTCCCACATAAAATAGAGAAAGATGGGCACAGATGTTTTAGCCCTGGGCCAATCTTCCTCACCAAAAAGAGGAGGATTGGCAACAGATGTTAGCTCAGTTCTAGTTTTCCTCACCAAAAAAAAAAAAAAAAGCAATATATTCACACGCAGTTTGATAAACCTCCCTTTAAAAGTTGGAGTGCCCCTCCACCCCTTGAGTGTGGGCTGGACATAGTGATTCTCTGCTGAATTACTGAACAAAGTGGAAATGATAATGTGCGGTTTTGGAGATTAAGTTGTAAAAAGGCACTGTGGCTGCCATCTTGATTGCTCCGTCTCTTGGGTTATTTGCCCCTGGATAAGCAAGTTGCCATGCCATGATAGCATTCCCTGAGAAGAGTCCCCTGTGATAAGGAACAAGGTCTTTTTTTTCAATAGCAGTCTGAGGGTAAGCCTTCTTGGAAGCACACACTCCAGGACCAGTCAAACCTTAAATATATCCAACTGCTGCTAATAGCTTGAATGCAACATCACAAGAAACCTTGAACCAGAGGTATCTAGCTAAGTTGCTTCTGGATTCTTGACCCTCAGAAACTGTCTGAGATAACATATGTTTGTTATTTCAAGCTGCTAAGTTTTGGAGTGATTTGTTTTGCCCCAATAGATAACTCCACATCTAAACTAACACTTGTTATCTGTTCTCTTTTTGATAATAGCCATTCTAACATGTATGAGGTGATATCTCATTTTGGTTTTGATTTGCATTTCCCTGATGATTAGTATTGTTGAGCACCTTTGCATATACCTATCATTTCTGTGTCTTTGGAAAAATGTCTCTTCTGGTCCTTTGCCATTTTAAAATTGGATTCTTTGTTTCTTTGCTACAAAGTTGCATGAGTTCCTTGTATCTTCAATTCACTTATTGTATTTTTCAGCTCCAGAATTTCTGTTTGGTTCCTTTTTATAATTTCTATCTCTTGTTATTTTCTCATCTTGTTTTTATATAGTTTTACTGATACCTTTTAGTTCTCTGTCTATGTTTTCCTCTAGCTCTTTTAGCATATTTAAGAAAGCTGTTTGAAAGTCCTTGTACTGTATATGTGATGCCTATGTTTACACAAGGATGGTTTCTGCTGCCATTTTTTCCTTTGATTGCACCATGATTTTCTGTTTCCTTGTAAGCCTTGTGATGTCTTGTTGGAAATTGGGCATTTGGAGAAACAGCTCCCTCTGCTAATCTTTGCAGCTTGGCTCTGTGGAGACGTCCTTCAATAATTAGCAGAGTGAGTTCTGAGCCTTGTTATCAGCTCAAGGTGAATCTTAAGGTCTTCTCAGTTCTTTTCTGACAATGCATCCTGTGTGGAACTTTGTGTGGCCTTATCAATTCCCTTGTATACACAGGTGCTTTTAACTTTCTTTATTTTGCAAAGAGTCTTGCCACAGCTTCCTCTTGGGGCTTTAGATGGTCTATTGCATTTCTCCACTAGAAATCTCTGCCTCAGGCTTCTATAGATCTATACAGTCATGTGTTGCTTAACAATGGGGATATTTCCTGAGAAATGCATCATTAGGCAATTTTCTTGTTGTGCAAATATCTTAGAGTGTACTTATAGAAATTTAGATAGTATAGCGTACTACACACGTAGGCTATGTGTTATAGCCTATTGCTTTTAGGCTACAAACCTGTACAGCCTGTTACTCTACTGAATACAGTAGGCAATTGTAACACAATGGTATTTGTGTATCTAGTCATATCTAAACATAGAAAAGGTACAGTAAAAATACATTATAAAACACAAAATACAGTACACCTCTATAGGGTACTTACCATGAATGGAGCTTGTGGGACTGAAAGTTACTCTAGTGAGTGAGCGGTGAGTGCATGTGAAGACATAGGACATTACTGTACACTCCCTCAGACTTTATAAACACTGCACACTTAGGCTACACTAAATTTATAAAAAATATTTTTCTTTCTTCAATAAGAAAGTAATCTTCATTTACTGTAACTTTTTTACCTTATAAACTTTTATTTTTTTAAACTTTTTAACTCATAATAACGCTTAGGTTAAAATACAAACATATTGTACAGCTGTAAAAAATATTCTCTTTCTTTATATCCTTATTCTATACGCTTTTCTCTATTTTTTAAATTTTTAATTTTTTTTAGTTTTTAAACTTTTTCGTTAAATGCTAAGACACAAACACATATTATCCTAGACCTACACAGGACCTACATCAATATCACTGTCTTTCATCTCCACTTCTTGTCCCGCTGGAAGGTCTTTAGGAGCAATAACATGTGTGGAGCTGTCATCTCCTATGATAACAATGTCCTCCTGTGAAGTACGTCTTGAAAGAACTTCCTGGGGCTCTTCTTGAGGAGGTATCACTCTTTTCAGAAATTTTCAAGTCCATTATAATCTTTTGGGACCATGATCGTACACATGATCTGCTGTTGACCAACACGTCATTATGTGGCACGTGACTATAGTCCCTCCCAGCCTTTACAACCATTGCCCAACACTTTCAGTCTCTTTTTCCAGCCTGAGATCTGAGTTTTGCTACTTCTTCTGCTCTGAGGTCTTAGGCAAAACAGAGACCAGTACTTCATGCAGCTGCCAGAGAGTTTAGAATATTGCAAATAAGGTCTTCTCTGCTCCCTTCAGTTGTACAGAAGGGATTGGGAGCTGGGCTGCTGCTTCCTCTAGACCATTACTGTACTGCACTGGGGAAAGGGTGGGGCAAGAGTGAATAAAAATTTCTTACCTTTTTCAATGTGCCTTTTTCTCGATTGGTATTTGCTTGCTTGCTGTAGTGCTTTGGTTGTATTCCAGAACTCATATAAAGTTACTTTATTTTGTCTCTAGTTTTTTTATTAGTGTTGCCATAGGGCAATAAGTGCCTTGTGTTTCCGAGCTTGCCATCTTTCTCTCTCTTACTTAATATATTTCAAGGGTCTGTTATTAAATGTGTAAATGTGTATAATTGTTAGATATTCTTGCTGTATTAAAACTTTTATTAATAGATAATGTTCTCTTTCTCTTTTGTAACCTTTTTGATTTCAAGTCTATTTTGTCTGATACTAGTATAGCCAACCAGATCCCTTTTGAAAATTATTTGCATGAAATATCTTTTTCAATCCTTTCACTTTCAACTTATTTGTGTCTTTGCCTCTAAAGTGAGCCTCTTGTACACAGCATATAGCTGGAGCTTTGAATTGCTGTCTAGTGTTCTTTTATTTGAGCCTGAAAACTACCTTTAGCATTTCTTGCAGGGCAGATCTAGTGGTAATGGACTCTCTGAGCTTTCCTTTATCTAGACATATCTTAAGTTATCTCTCATTTTTGAAGGACAGTTTTCAGAGGTAGAATTCTCAGCTGATAATTTTTTTCTTTCAGCACTTTGAATATATCAACCCACTGCCTTCTTACCTCCAAGAAACAGAAGTAGTTGGCTGATAATAGTGAGGATCTCTGTATGTGATAAGTTGCTTCTCTCTTAATGCTTTCATGAGTCTCTCTTTGTCTTTGTCTTTTGACAGTTTGGTTATAATGTGTCTTTGTGTGGGTCTTATTAGGTTTATTATACTTGGAGTTTGTTGAACTTCTTGGATTTGTAGATTCATGTCTTTCATCAAATTTGGGAAATTTTCAGCCATTATTTCTTCAAATATTTTTTTTTTGCCCCCTTTTCTGTCACTCTTTTTGGGATTCTCACAATGCATTTGCTGGTTATCTTGAAGGTATTGAACAGATCTCTTAGGCTTTTTCTCTGTTTTTTCAATATTTTGTCTTTCTGTTTCCCAGACTTGATCATTTCAATGGTTTTATCTTTACGTTCACTGATTCTTTCTGCAGCCTGCAGAAATTTGCTTTTGAACTCCTGTATTGAAGTTTTCACTTCAGTTATTTTACCTTACACCTCTATCATTTATTTTTAGTTCCTTCTTATATTTTTAAGCTTTTTATTGATATTTATATTTTGTTCATAACTTTGCATATCTTTAAGACATTTGCTGTAAAGGCTTGATCTAGTAAATACACCCTCTGGGCTTCCTCAGGGATGGTTTTTCTTGATTTATATTCTTCCTTTTAGTGGGTCATATATTTCTCTTTCTGTGTGTCTCATGATTTTTTGTTGAAAACTTGACATTTGAATCTTAATGTGGTAAAAATGGAAGTCAGATTTTCTGCCTTTCCCAAGATTTTTGTTCTTTCTTAAAAGAGTTGTTACTGGGTGTCTCTGTGCCAGAGATCAGCCTAAGATGTAATCTTAAGGTCTTCTCAGTTCCTTTCTGAGCCTAAATCTTTACCTGAGCATTGGTGGTGACTTCTAAATTTCCCTGTATATGTGGTTGCTTTTGATTGTCCCAGTCCTTAAATATACAACTCCCAAAAGAAGAAAATGGGAAAAAGAAGAAAAAAGTGCTTATCTTTGCATCTCTGGAGCTGCTTCAGGCTGTGGGGTTTGCAACAATGGCCACCTGCCTCTATGTAGGTAACTCTGTGATCAGAAGCAGCACTCAGAACATGGATCCTTGATGTTTGAAGGACAAGGTCCTTTTGTCCCCCACTGGCTCCCTCAATCTGCTCCAGGAATGTGGGTATGGTTTCCTGATGTAGGGATGCGTGTGTGTGGATGTTAGCCACTACTGCGGTGTTGATTGAAATTGACTGAAATTAATCACCATTTATCAGCCAACCCTTCACCTGGGAGCTGCTGGCTTTGAATAGACTGCATATTTCTAGAATAGTTAACCAGAAAGTTTTCTCCCAGTACTTATCTTGCCCACGTGAAAAGATGGATTTCTGGTCCTTCCAACTGTTCCCTGATGTCACTCCCCACCTCACTCTTTTTCAATCGTTGCACCACTGACCATCTCATGGAACACAGCTGCTGGTTTACAACATCAAATGCCCATGAAGAATTGTGAGACAATCTCCCCCAGCAACACCAGAATCTATGGACTGGCCACCATCCTTCAAGGTGAACAACAATAGATTCTACCTGGTCCTTTTCGTGATAGGATCTCAAATATTTCATTAGGAGGAAGAATGTGGCTGGATAAGCCAATGACATTCATTATGGATAATTCCTCAAAATTTCTCTTGTGTCTTGCCCATATTCTATAGTTTGTCGTTTTTGTGCTTCTTTGTATCTTGGGTCATATTTTGAAGGATAAAAACAGAAGAAGCTTGTAAGATTGATTGACTTTGTTTGCAAAATCTAAAGTCCATAGGAGGACTAGAGGATTCTCTGTAAAAGGAAGGACATTGAGTGTTCAGGAAGAGGTGAAATCAGGGGATGGTCTGCAGGTTATGGAGGAGAGTGACACAGTCCTGACCAATGGTAGTGCCCCAGGGAAGCAGAAGACCCAAACAGAGTGGCTGCATAGGGAGCTGAACAGTCAGACTGGAAGCTCCAGATTCCAATGCCTCGTGTGGTGAATGGGAAGTTGTAGCAACCAAGTGTGTACAGGGCCAGTATTAACCTGATAATCTCTTTGAACAGATAACTGATAGCCAGTGGCTGCCCTCTCTAGTTCTCACCTCATCACTGTGGCATTACATAAGCCCATGGGATCATAGATATTTCTGGTAGGGAAGGATTGTGGAAATAATCCCTGAAGGTAACTGACTTGTGATTTACTGCCAACCCGGAGGAAATGGAAACTTAAATTAAAATTATGTTGACCTGTATAATATAAAAATGTGAGACCACACTTGCACTTGTGTACTAAGATAGGTACCTGTTACATCTGTTTTATGCCTATTTTTTCATTTCATATTAATGTGCAGAGTGCTTACCACACTGCTTGGTAGTTACTAGATGCTCAATAAATGGCTACTGAATTCACGAGTGTTTATCTCAAAGCTTTTGGTAATGATGCCAAACTGTGTTTTAGCAGCTCTCTTGCATAAATTATCTGATAATTCCACCATCAATCGAGTTTCTATTTCACTGCACTCTCACCAACCTTGACTTGAGCTCACTTTAATTAAGTTGGTTTTTCTTTTGAGATTCTGTGTCTTTATTTTCCACTGGGTTTGCATAGCTTTTCACAAATTTATTGCCTATGTGGCTTTTTTCTCTTGAAAATGATATTTTCTGCCTTTTATCCTTTTTCTATTGATTTATTTATTACCTTTGGGTACATAATTTGAGAATTCTACATATTAAAAGTACATTTTGAAAACTGCTTATTTTGTCATTTGCTCTTTCATTTTTGACATCTTATATATTCTGCAATTTTACATATTCTTTGGTTAAACTTTGAATAGAGAAACTTACAATGAAGGAAGTAACAATCACTTTAAAGTCCACCAGCAAAAGTTTAATGCTTTTATCTTTTTGGCAAATATATTTCTAGTTTTCTTTGACAAGTTTTAAGATTTAGCCCTACAGAGGATTTAAAGGGGTATTATTCAAATCTACCCATCTTTAAATTTCTGGTGATGGGCTGTAATCAGTGTTTGGGTGGTGAACATGATGTAATCTATGCAGAAATAGAAGTATAAAGATGTACACCTGAAATTTATACAATGATATAAACCAATGTTACTGCAATAAACAAGAAAGAAAAAAGAAAAAAAAAGAGAAACAACGAAAATTAAAAGGGAAGCCACAAGCCAAATAAAAATATTCACAATACAGATAAAAAAAAAATAAATTTCTGATATTTTCTTTACTATTCAAATCTTTTTTTATCCCAGTATTTTGTACCCACATTTTCTAATGAAAAGTTTAGGTTTTTTTATTCCATTTAACTTTTTATTAAAGCAGAATATTTTTCAGTGTAGGATATGAGGTCATATTATTAGTCATTTATTTTTAAATAGTTATTTATGCTATTTGTTTCATAGTCCTTTCTTTTGGTGTGTGACTTAGGATGCCAAAGTTATATATTAAGTGTTACCTTTGCTATGGTCTGTTTCTGGACTTCCTTTGATGTGTGACTGTATCTGCTACTGCTATTTTGACCATTGCAGCTATAATAAAGACCAGTTTATGCTACCCCGTATGCTGGCCTTCCTCCCCTCATGCCATGATCCTCCCTTTTGGAATCACATTGTTTATTTGTAATTTTTAGATAAACGTGTAACTATTTTTTAAATTCGTCTAAAAGTATGTAGTTTTTCATTATAATGACATCAATTATTCTAACAGTTAACTATGGGAATAATTGTTATTTTTAGTACTAATCAAACCTCCTATCCAGAAAGCTGGTTATCCATAATTATACCAATGTTCTAAGGTCTTTTAAAACATTATGGTTTTCCTCACATTTCTATTATGATTAATTATAGGTATTTTAGTAATTTAATACTGCAATTGTAAAAAAATTCCATTTTTTCCATTATACATTTTTATTTGCTTATTTTACAAATTTTCCCTGATGAGAAATTATCTCATTTTCCCATATATTTTGCACTTGAATCAGCAGTTAGTTCCTGGAATTCCTTAAAATGGGGTCACTTTCACGGAAATATCTTCCTGCTTTGCATTTCTTGAGTCTTTTCTCCTGGTAAAAACACAATGACACCAAAAGACAAACACAAAAAATGAGAAGACATAGTATAACCGTATATGTCCTGGAGCAAGCTTATCCTTCACCAACCAGAGTTGGTATACACCATGACTGCTCCTCCAAGAGTTTGAGTAAATCTTGTGAAGAAAAAGTCCTAGCTCCCATTGCAGGGTCTGGGAAGGCAGATTTGACAGTTTCTATTCTCACCCTTGGACACCATGGCATTGGAAAGAGAGATTTTGGAAAAGGCAAGGGAGGTACAGAAAAGTTTGAGAATCCTTTTCCATTCTTTATCACTTTAAAATCTCTGTTCTCAATACTTTCCTTCCCAGTGAAAACAAGATGGTCTGAATCTCACAGGCAGCACAAAAGGACTCCTTCCCCTGAGAAATGTTGTCATCTGTGGGAGGGGCTCTTGTCCTCTCCCTGACCTCCCTCAGATTCTTCAGTGACCAGGGAAGTCCTCAGATCTCATGGTGCTTAATCTTATATGTCAACTTGGCTAGGCCACAGTGCCCAGATGTTTGGTCAAACACCAGTCTAGATGTTTCTGTGAAGGTATTTTTTAGATGTTATTAGTATTTAAATCACTAGACTTTGAGTAAAGCACATAATGGGGGAGGGCGGGGGGCCTCATCCAATCAGTTGAAGGTCTTAGGGGAAAATGACAAGTCCCAAGAGGAAGAAGGAATTCTGCCTCCAGATTGCTGTTAGACTGGAGAACTCTTTTCTTCCTTCAAATATTCCCTGGGGTCCAGGCTGCTGCCTGTTTGCAGATTTCAGACTTGGAAGCCCCCACAATACTGTGAGCCAATTCCTTAAGCTAAATCTCTCTTGCTGTATATACACAATCCTATTCATTCTGTTTCTCTGGAGAATCAGAATCAGATTATACAGGTCTACAGTATCCAGCACTTTCAGTGAACTTACCTGCACTCCCTGTGCTGAGAGCTGACAGGGACAAGAGATGAGAATATGGTGTTTGAATCTCTGCATGATAGTGAAATATATTCAGGTCTGTGAATCTTACAGTAGGGCACCTAATTTTGGCCTCTTCACCACTAAATCCACTCATGCAGGCTGGGCAGCGTGGATCTGTGTGATCTAGGGAGCCTTGGGTGAGTCTTAGGTCACTATCACTGAACAATGATGCTGTGGCTAAACCAAAGTCACTGACCATATGAAGATAGTCTAGGTCTAAACCTTCCCCTGGAGACAATGATCCTGGATGGTGTTCTCCCCTCCTCATCACAGGCCTATAGTGCACAGCAACCGTAAGGAACAGTTAGAGAGTTTACTCACTCATTTTCCACATCCTGGATGGAGTCAGGCAGAGGCTGATTCCTGGTTTCAGGAAGGAGTGGGACAACAAGTGCAGTGAGGTTGGGGGAGACTCCATATATGATCCAGGGCAGATGTGGGGAATACACCGTTAGGATCATCAAGAGAGGAGCCATGGCAGCCCCAATATTAGCAGCAACTCCAACGATTCCTAAAGCTATTGCTCTTGGGGTGGAAAAAATAATACATAAAAACCCAGTAAAAATCCAGACATATAATTTGTCATTTATTAATTTTCTTTGGTTATGGAAGATAGCACATCAATGTGTTTAAACATGGAGATTGATGACATACTTTTGTTTTGGACATTTTCTCTCTCTTATTTGCTAACAATTTTTTTCAATTTCACCTGTGCATTAAGGCACAATTAGATCATCGAAAAAATACTGTTACCCATAGCATTTACCCTTCGTGTGGTTCAGAAGATTACGTGAGAAGAAACATTAAAGGGATTAACTCAGGACTTGGCAAAAAGTCAGCTTTTGATTAAAAAATCAGCTTTTGATAACATTTGGCTATAATTTTTATTTTTATTACTATTGTAATTAACTACTTTTGATAGCTAACTAGTCTTGGTTTTCTTCCCCCAGTAAGTGTCAGTTATCTGGGAAAGGCCTGTTTTGATCCTAACAGATAATCCACAAGATTTGTACCTGACTACAGTGGGGATTAGTTCATTTCCATGGGTAGCAGAACTGGTGACAGCAGCAGAAGAAACTCCTATTCCCAAAGCTGCCAAAAGCACACGCAGGATCTGCATTTCTGGAGAGAAGACCAGGGAGACTCAGTAAATTGGAGCTGAAGAAATCAGCATCCCTCAATTTGCAAATGAAGAAGACCCTATTGGAGGTGTTTGCAAGTATAAAATATATTGTAGAGAAACTGCATGGAGGCAGAAAATGCGCAGTGTGTAATCAGGTGAGAAATGTGACTTATCTGCGTAATATGGCTTATGGTGAATAAAAAGATTGAGTTATTTCATCAACTCTCCCTGCATATATGAGATTTGCCAGAAAAGGAGAGGGGTAGTTGAGTCCAGCAGATACTCTCTTCCATTAATTCTGTTCTGTGTCTTTTTGCCCTTAACATAGAATATAAGACTATTATGTGGGCAATTACTGAGGGGTATAAGACTCATCCATGTCTTTGAGATTTTAAAACCTAGGAGCTTACACAATATTGACATTGGGTTAACCATGCAGAAGAGACTAGTAAAAAAACATAACTCCTATGTTAGTAGATAAGCTGGAAAGCAGCTTGATCAAGAATAATATTTCAATAATCAACTACAAGGACCTCTATTAGGAATTTCAGGGAGTCAGTTTTCTATTTCCTACTTTCCCTCCTTCCCCCGACCAAAATTTCATTATAAGCATTACAACACTGGAGTGGGCTCTGTTGTAAAGCAGGAAACTTGCATCATTGCCAATATTCAAGATGAGAAGTGGAGCCCGCCAATCTGGGATCTTGTTAAATACATAACTATGCTGGGAGTTAGGTGAAGCATGGTGACCACCTGGGTTCTGCTATTCATTACATATGATCATTCAATTTAGTAAAATAGATTCTTTTTTTTAAATTTATTTTTATTTTTTGTTTATTGCAGTAACATTTGTTTATAACATTGTATAAATTTCAGGTGTACATCATTATACTTCTATTTCTGCATACATTACATCATGTTCACCACCCAAATACTAATTACAACCCATCACCACAAACTTGTGCCGAATTATCCCTTTGGCCCTCTTCCCTACCCCCTTCTCCTCTGATAACCACCAATCCAATCTCTGTCTCTATGTGTTTGTTTGTTGTTGTTATTATCTACTACTTAATGAGGGAAATCATATGGTATTTGACGTTCTCCCTCTGACTTATTTCACTTTGCATAATACCCTCAATGTCCATCCATAGATTCTGAGAGAGGCTCTTAACTGCTTAGTGCCTTGTTCCTGCTGTCATTTCTCTGTCTGAAGAGAAGGAATTTTTGTTTCTTGAAGTCAAGTTGATTCCTCTAAACTAGAATTTCAGCTATGGATACCTGATATGAGACACATGAGTGGATACATAGAGATCAGAGAATAAATTGTCACTGAAGCTGTAGTAATAAGTGAGACCCCAGACAGGGGGAGTGACAGTATTGTGTCCTCACATGGGATACAATGACAAGGTCTAGACCCTTCATGCTTGCTATGTTAACTATGATTGGCCAAAAGTAAGTGAGCAATTGCTGTCGTAGAGAAACTACCAGTAAAAGATGGCACCAGTTTCCAGACACTTCTCAGATATAATGAATACATCATATCTCAGCGTCAACTTTAACTGGCCTTAAGCTCTTTTCCCACCAACTTAATGGCAGAATATGTACTAAACTTTCAGATTGGTTTCAGAATATTGTTAGAACCCAATCTGCGTTTACTTTTGGCTTTGAATAGGTGTGACCAGTACAATTCATGAGGAATGGGAGGAACACATCTTCTTTCTTCAACTTGTGTTATTTTCTCACCTTGAGGAACAAATGTGGTGGTCAGAATAGAGATTCCCAGCAGCAACAGGAAAAGCATCTGGCTAATTCGACGGCCCAGGTGATTGAGTGCCAAAAGTGCAACATAATTGCTTGGAAGTGTTGCTATGCCAAAAATAATCTGGGAAAGGAAAATATTTTCACCCAAGTGCTGGATGTGGAGACTCAGGCCCAAAACAGGAATGAAGGTGGTAAATCTGTGGTGAAGAAGAGGAAAGAAAGATGTTATCAGGTTTTGATTCTGTGTCCTACAAATGATAATATTGAGCCAGAAAACCAGGAGTAAAGAATAAATGCATGGTGTGATTTGTAGAATATTTCTGTGTTGATTATATCTTCTTATTTTCTTTATTTTTGATACTCTGACATTTAGGGCCTTGATCCTGGATAGTTTGCCTTTCCCAGGGCTAGCTAATCCCTAGAGAAAGCAAATGACTCCCTTGTGAGTGTATCTTTCTTATACAAGCCACCAATCCAGAGTCCACACTCCCAACCATCTCCCTTATCAAACTCACACACCAAGCCAATACTCCCCCTGCACTAAATCACTCCAGGGCCAGCTACTGGACAACTATGGACCATCACTATAGCCCAGAGTCCACTGAACGTTCAAATTATTGAATCCTAAGCTTACTCATGTTACCTACCCTCCTCTCCTATTCCTTCCCACAAAAACCCCAATAAAGGCTCTGGGCCATACTCTTCCTTTTCTTCTATCTTGGTCCTTCCGATTGGCCCCAGCATCTTCCTGTACAGCCTTGTGGGCTGTTTCATGCCTCCACATTCTAGGGATTTGTGAGTGTAAACTTCCTTGATGATGGTCATTCCTGAGTCTGTGTGTCTTAACTTATATGATTAAACAAATCTTGGGAACATTTTAAACACAATTTCCTTGCAAGTTAATGATTTAAAAACTATCATAAAATAATGTTATGATAATGGAGCTTATAATTGTTGCTAAGTTATTTGGGGGGTGGGGAGTGTTTTTGTGGAGGATGCATGAGGTAGCCTTCTCGAGTTTTAGAGTTTTTTCTATATTCCGATCTGGGTGATGGTTATATATTTACATGTGGAAATATTCATTGAGCTGCATATATTTGAACACTTGACTGTTTGTAATTTTACCTCAGTTAAAATGAAAACAAACAAGTGAAGAAACGTAAAGCCAAAGTCTGTACCGTGATTGAAGTTCTCAGCCTCATCTCCAGTGATGAGCCTGGTAGAGGGATGTGATAACAAAACACCTAACTGTACAATTAGCTCCATGTTAGTCTTTTATAACGCTTTCACTACCTCCAAACAACTGTTATCTTTATTACTTGTTCATGTTTTATCTCAAGTCTGTCCCTATAGCACGTTATAACTTTGAAATAAGAAATAGATTAATGTCTCCACTATTTTAATGTTCCTCGTGTACTATGTGAAGCCTACCTCATAAAGGATAGTATACAGATCCTTTTACGCATGTTGGGTGTTCGCAACAAGTCATACACAGAAGGTTTGTTCTGTGCTGCCTCCAGCTCCTCCTGCATGGTGGATCTCAAAACCTTCAACAACAACAACAGCAAACTGTTCAGACATTATGAAGCCCCAGTAGAGGACAAGACAGATAACTTCTCTTTTTGTCCACTGGAAAACATAGCCATGGAAGATGCAAGACAGGTGTAAAAGTGGTATGAATGGTGAATTAGGGAGTCATAGGGGCCTGAGGGAAATTTTCAAGTGACAAAGACATTTTAACATGAGACTCAATTTGGCTGTAGGGCATCAAAACCTGATATAAATCTCTAACCTACCCAGCTGGTTTTGATGTCCTACAGCCAAATTGAGGGGATTTGCTTGGATTATGGTCCAAAGCTTTATTTATATCAGAGGGGCACGAAACATTTGGCAACTGAGTTTGGTTCTCAGCTGGCTGCTCTTAGTAGAAAAACAGTTATTTTTCAGGAAGGAGAATAATTTCCTGACAGCTTTTATTCTGGTTCTTGGGTCAGCCTCTTTCAGGGAAATCTTAGCATATGTTGTGCCTCCATGAATGAGATGCCAATAATTAAATCTGAGGATGGAATCGGGAGACCTTAGTGTAGTATGATTTATACCCAAACTTTATAACCCAATGTTATACAATGGCTCTGCCACACGCTAGGTGTGTACCTTGAGGAAGGTAACAGGACATCTCTAAGCCTCCATTTCCTTGTCATTAAAAAGATGAATAAGAATAAGAAGATGTTGCTCAAAATCACTAATAATTAGGGAAATGCAAATCAAAACCACAATGAGATATTCCCTCACATTGTTAGAATGGCTATCCTCAAAACAACAAGAAATAACAAGTGTTGATGAGGATGTGGAGAAAAGGAAAGCCTTATGCACTGTTGGTGGGAATGTAAATTAGTGCAGTCACTTTGGAAAGCAGTATGGAAGTTCCTCAAAAAATTAAAAATAAAACTACTATATGATCTAGCAATTCCACTTCTGGGTATTCATCTGAAGAAAATGAAAACACTAACTTCAAAAGATATATGCACCTCCATGTTCATTGCAGATTTGTTTACAATATCCATCATACAGAAATAACCTAAGTGTCCATTGATAGATGAGTGGATAAAGAAAACGTGGTACATATATGTACAATGGAATATTATTGAACAACAAAAAAGAAATCCTGCCATGTGAGATAACACGGATGGACCTTGAAGACATTATACTAAGTGAAATAAGTCAGACAGAGAAAGACAAATACTGTATGATCTCACTTATATTTGGAATCTACAAAAACAAAACATGGCAGGCCCAGTGTCATAGTGGTTAAGTTCACGCGCTCCACTTCAGAAGCCCAGGGTTTACGGATTCAGACCCTGAGCACAGACCTACACATGCTGTGGTGGCATCCCACATGCAAAATAAAAGAATATTGGCACAGATGTTAGCTCAGGGCCAATCTTCTTTACCAAAACAAAACAAAATGAAACAAAACCAAGCTCATAGATACAAAGAACAGATTGGTGGTCACCATGTGTGTGGGATAGGGGGTTGGCAATGGGAGAAGGGGGTCAAAAAGTATAAACTTTGAGTTATAAAATAAGTCACGGGGAAGTAGTGTACAGTATAGTGACTATAGTTAATAATACCTTATCATATATTAGAAAGTTGCTAAGAGAGTAGATCTTAAACGTTCTTATCTCAAGAAAAATAAATTTTGTAACCATGCGTGGTGATGGATGTTAACTAGACTTACTATGTTGATCCATTTTACGATATATACTAATATTGAATCATTCTTTTGTACACCTGAAACTAATATAATGTTATATGTCAATTATACCTCAAAAAAAAAAGAGAAGAAAATCAAGATCAAGAGAAGAAGGAGTAGGAGAAAAAAAATAATGTCTCTCTCACAAGGATTTCCAAGGCATACATGAGGTCACAAATGTGCCTGTGGAATTGTAGCTAGCACAGGTGAGCAGTTATTGATTTATTAATTATTTAAATAATATTAACTCCATTCTCATCCCATCTTCACAAATGAAACATTACCATGAAGCTGCTTAGAGAAAATTTCATGATGAAGGGAATTGAGAAAAATGAAAGGCCACTCTACCCAGAGGTCTAGAGCAATCAACAGGTTGGTATTGATATAAAGTGGAGCAGCTTTGTTAGGAGAATTGTTTGGCCATCCATCAGATGGAGGTGAAAACATGACTAAGACCACAAATTTGTGTATTATCTTTACAGAACTCAAAAATATGTATCAAGTGAAAGCATATTAGCTGGCCATTCATGGATAGAATCTCTTGCTTAGACCACATTTTAACTGCTACCCGTGTGCCATGCTCTATTCCTTCCACTGGCATGAGGTGATTGTCAGCTGTCATTCACTTTGATTACGCATTGTTTTTTCCCTGCTTTCAGCTAGTATCACTTACTTTTGTATCCTCCTGGCCCCTGTAAATCTTTAAGCTTTCCTTCTCTGGATTGGGCCAGTCTGGTAGGCAAAATACTAGATATGGGCTTGGAACCAAATATAACTTCTGAGAAGTTAGTTTGGCCAAAAGAATTTTATATAATTTAGGCAAATATTGACACAATATTGAAGTGCCATAGAGCTCCACCTAAATTTCAAGGTCCACCTCCATCCTTTTTTTTTTAAGCATGAGGCAATGTTCTCCCCATCATATCAGGAATCCTCAATGCCATTGTCTGCATAATGTTTCACCTCTGAGGAAAACCTGATTTCCTCCAGCCATCTTCAGAGGGATCTGAATTCTCAGGAGCATTATTTGAAATCTTCTAAAGGACCTCTGCTTTTTCTGGGACTGTAAAATCTTCCATCAGATATGCCACTGTGCATGTTTCCAGAAATTTTCTATTTCTCCTTTTTGAGTGGTCAACTTGTAATCCTCTCCTTTACCAATACAAGGAAGGCAGATTTTTTTTCTTATCTCCGTTAGTATTCTTTACATTCTCTTATCATTTTAAACATTTGGATTTAAAAATGTCTATGAGTTTTTCTCTCTCATATTAATGTGAAAGCTCCTTGAAGGCTGAGACTCTGACTTGTTCTATTATACATGATCTAGCGCCATGCCTGGCACAATATAACTTTTCAATAAATGCTTTATGCATGTGCATGACATGAAGAATGATTTACCTAAGGACGCACAGCAATATCTGCCTTCCACACCTGGGATGGAAAATAAGAAGGAGAAAGACTTCTCTGGGGCATTTCCACTCAGTCATGCTCTTGGAACTTGTAATAAGGAGAATGTAAACTCCACACAACATGGGTTTGGACTGTTGTGGTCACTGCCATGTTTCCAGGGATGGAACAAAACCTGCCACCGGTCGGCACTCATTAAATATAACATGAAAGAAAGTGTATGGGGGAATCAACGAATAGGAGAACCTCCTTACGCTCTATTCTGCATGGTCACTAATCCTTCTACTGGCATCACTGTTCTGAAAAATGGCCATCTGAACATTAGTCGGAAAGAAATGGATTACTTTTAATTACTTTCACTTACACAGAGTGAGACCAATATACAATCTTCTTTTAAATAATTATTTTCATTTAATTAATTTTTGAGGTAACTTTGGTGTATGACATTATGTAAGTTTCAGGTGTATATCATTATATTTCGACTTCTGTGTATACTACACTGTGTTCACCACCCAAAGTCTAATTGCCATCTGTCACCAGACCCCTGTGCTCTGTTACTCCTTTTGCCCTCCCCCATCCCCCTTCCCCTTGGGTAACCACCAATCTATTCTCTGTGTCTATGTGTTTGTTTGTTGTTGTTATTGTTTTATCTTCCATATAAGATTGAAATCATATGGTATTTGCCCTTCTCTGTCTGACTTATTTCACTTAGCATGATGTCCTCAAAGTCCATCCATGTTGTTGTATATAGCAAGATTTCATTTTTTATGGCTGAGTAGTATTCCATTGTATATATATACACACATCTTTTTATCCATTCTTCTCTTGATAGCCACTTAGTTGTTTTCAAATATTGGCTATTATGAATAAAGCTGCAATGAATATAGTGATGCACATATCTTTACAAATTAGTGTTTTCATGTTTTTTGGATAAATACCCAGAAGTGGATTAGCTGGATCATATGGCAGGTCTATGCTTAATTTTTTGAGAAATCTCCATACTGTTTTCCATAGTGTCTGCACCAGTTTACATTTACACAAGCAGTATGTGAGAGTTCCCTTTTCTCCATATCCTGTCCAGCACTTGTTATTTTTGTCTTTTTAAGAATAGCCATTCTGACAGGTGTGAGGTGATATTTCATTCAGGTTTTAATTTGCATTTCCCTAATAATTAGTGCTATTGTGTATCTTTTCATGTTTCTCACAGCCATCTGTATATCTTACTTGGAAAAATGTCTGTTCAGATCCTTTGCCCATTTTTTAATTGGGTTGTTTGTTTTTTTGTTGTTGAGTTGTATGAGTCTTTATATTTTTTGGATATTAACCCCTTATCAGATATACGATTTGAAAATGTCTTCTCCCAATTGTTATGTTGTCTTTTCTTTTTGTTGATGATTTCCCTTGCTGTGCAGAAGTTTTTTAGATTGATGTAGTCCCACTTGTTTATTTTTTCTTTTGTTTCCCTTCCCTGAGGAGACATGATATTCAAAGAGATACTGCTAAGACTGATGTCAAAGAGTGTAATAGCTTTATTTTCTTTTATGACTTTCATGGCTTCAAGCCTTACCTTCAAGTCATTAATCCATTGTGAGTTAATTTTTATGTATGGCATAAGATAATGGTCTACTTTCATTCTTTTGCATGTGGCTGCCCGGGTTTCCAAACACCTTTTATTGAATAGACTTCCTTTCTCCATTGTAATTTTTCACTCCTCTGTGAAAAATTAGCTGTCTGCAGATGTGTGGGTTTATTTTTGGCCTCTTGATTCTGTGTGTGTTGTTTTCTTCCAGTATCACGCTGTTTTGATTACTATAGCTTTGTAGTATATATTGAAATCAGGGAGTGTAATACCTCCAGCTTTGTTCTTTTTTCTCAGGATTGCTCTGGCTATTTGGGATATTTTGTTACTCCACGTAAATTTTAGGATCTTTGTGCTCTTTCCACAAAAAATATTGTTGAGACTTTGATAGGGATTGGATTGAATCTGTTGCTTGCTTTAGGAAGAATGGATATATTAAGTATGATAATTCTTCCAATCTATAAGCACAGAGTATCTTTCCATTTCTTCATGTGTTCTTCAATTTCTTTCAACAATGTTTTATAGGTTTTAGGGTACAGGTCTTTCACATCCTCGGTTGAATTTATTCCTAGGTATGTTATTCTTTTTGTTTTGATTGTAGCTGGAGTCATATTCTTGATTTCTCTTTCTCCTATTTCATTGTTAGTGTATAGAAATGCAAGTGATTTCTGTATGTTGATTTTATACCCTGCAACTTTACTGTTTTTGTGGATTATTTCTAATAGATTTTTGTGTATTCTTTAGGGTTTTCTATGACATGAAAAAGTCATCTGTTGAGATACTTTCCTTTTATACCCATTTTATTCAGAGTTTTTATCATAAACAGATGCTGTATCTTGTTGAATGCTTTCTCTGCATCTCTTGAGATGGTCATGCGTTTTTCATCCTTCCTTTTGTTAATGTGGTAAACCATGTTGATCAGTTTGAAGATGTTGAACAATCCTTGCCTCTCTGGAATAAATCCCACTTGATCATGATGTATGATCCTTTTAATGTATTGCTGTATTTGATTTGCTAATATTTTGTTGACAATTTTTTGTATCTATGTTCATCAGTGATATTGGCCTATAATTTCCTTTTTGTGTTGTCCTTGTCTGGTTTTGGCATCAGGGTAATGTTGCCCTCACAGACTGACTTAGGAAGCATCTCTTCCTCTTCAATTTTTTGGAAGAGTGAAAGGGATAAGTATTAAATCTTCTTTGACTATTTGGTATAATTTACAGGGGAAGCCATCTGCTCCTGGACTTTTTGTGTTTTTGGAGGTTTTTGCCTGCCTTTTCAGTTTCCTTACTAGGGATTGTTCTGTTCAGATTCCCTATTTTTCTTGATTCAGTTTTGAAAAGTTGTATAATTCTAAGAATTATCCATCTCTTCTAGAATATCCAATGTTTTGGCATAAAGTTTTTCATAGTTATCTCTTATAATTCTTTGTATGTCCTGGTGTATGCTGTATATTCTCCTCTTTCTCTTCTGATTTCATTTATTTGAGTCTTTTCTCTTTTTTCTTAGTGAGTTTACAGACTTTGTAACTGTAAATACTCAGTGCTTTCTGCCATCATTGAGTAAAATATGTGTCCAATACTTTCAGCAATAGCATGTCCTTTCCTAATGTTAACCCAAACAATGTTGACACTCATTGAGAATGAGGACAGTGAGCTCAGAGGACCCACAACCACTCCTGAGATCTTACCTTCCATTCCTGTTATGGATACTGACTGATAAAATGTTAGGTCATGTTTTTCATACATCCCATTACCATCTTCCATCCTCCTCACCTCCAGGGTTAGGGCATCTCCAGCATTCTTCCTTCCATTTCTGTGTGCTACTTGTCTAAGTTTCTTTAAGCCCTCCTCGGGTTTGTTGGCTATGATAAGCCACCGAGCAGACTCTGCCAGCCACCTGATCAAAGAACAGAACAGAGGTGCAGTTAACTCTCACTTGCCCATTTTTCACATAATCTTTGTCTAGAGATGTGAAGGGGTTTAGAATATGCCACTGAAAATATGTTGATTTGACATATTGATAATATTGAGCTGAAGGCACTTGAGAAACTGCAGATGCAGAAAGATCTCTCTGACCTCTCCCTTTCTACCTACAAGTAGGTCATAACATTTCCCATATTAAAAATGCCCATCCAGGGCCAGGAAGAGAAGAAAATTCTTATCACCAGAGACTGGGAGTTGACATTGAAATGGACTTGTATAAACAAACTTACTAAAATAACTCATTTTCTCTTAGTTTCCCTGTATATTTCCTAGTAACTATTCCACAAATTAATGCCCCTGGTGCAAGCCACTTTGTCTAGTCACATCCCCATAATTTATGGGGGGTTTTTTGTGTGTAAAAATGTATATGAGCTTTTGGGCCTAATGTCTTTTTTGAGTCTTCATTTTCCTTCTGAGGACTCTCGTGTACAAACAGTAAATAAATTTGTGGGCCGGCCCCATGGCTTAGTGGTTAGGTGCATGCTTCGCTACTGGCAGCCTGAGTTCGGATCCCGGGCGCGCACTGATGCACCTCTTCTCCAGCCAGGCTGAGGCCGCGTCCCACATACGGCAACTAGAGGGATGTGCAACTATGACATACAACTATTTACTGGGGCTTTGGGGAAAAAAAAGGAGGAGGATTGACAATAGATGTTAGCTCAGAGCTGGTCTTCCTCAGCAAAAAGAGGAAGATTAGCATGGATGTTAGCTCAGGGCTCATCTTCCTCACACACACAAAAAATAATAATAAATTTGTATGTGTTTATTCTGTTAATCTTTCTTATGTCAGTTTAATTCTTAGGCCATTCACAGAACCTAAGAGGGTAGAGGAAAATTTTCCTCTTCTGCAGATGCTTTTCCCATCCTATTTAATAAGTACCACTGATTATACCAAAAAATATAAATTTACTTTCTTTTTTCTATAAATAGGAAAATATGAGGACGCCATGCTAATGCAATGCACTTTGTCTGCTGGGAACACAGACTTAGTGTCATATTGGCTCCCCTCTTATTCAGGAGAAATGCCAATTGTGTAAACTAAAAGTACCGTGTGCCTAAATGTGTATTCAAATAAACAGTGAGTAGCTCCTTAGTATAACTATGTTCCAGACAATATTAGGTACACACTTATACTAAAGTATTATTTGTTATTTGTTGAAAATTTGAATTTAATGTGACATTCTGTATTTCATCCAGTTAACACATAAAAATATAGAACTCTCAGATAAATAGAAATTTCACATAAACCATGAATAATTTTTGGTGTAACTATATGACGTATAACATTTGGGATGGTATTATACAAAAATATGTGTTGCTTATTTGCAGTTCACATTTAATTTAGTGTCCATGATGTTATCTGGCAACCTTAACTGTTCAGCTCCTGGAATTGCACAGATTAGTAGAACACGTGCTCAAGTATTGACCAAGGACAAAACAGAATCAATGTCTCCTGAATCCATGCATCTTTCATTCCAGGATCCTCTAAGACTGAGAGAGAGAGCTTATACCTTGAAGACAGAAGGATGGCAAATACTGGCACAGAAAACACCAGCTGGAGGGTGCGCCAGTCTCTAATGGCGTAAGCCAGACCTCCTAATATTATCTGTCCAACACTATAGGAACAAGATGTCAGTGTCGTTCCCAAGGCTTGGAATTGGGGCACTGTCCATTCTAAAACTGAAAGAAAACACAAACGGGATTTTGACTTTAAACAGAGGTGGAATGTCAACATCAAAGTCAAGGCTTGGAAAATGTACAAGATCAAAAGTGTTGACTTACTGAGCATAGTGCTATTTATCATGATGTTCGTGACAGAAAGGCCAGCCAAGAAGCGCAGTGAGCAGTAAATGAGGAAGGTGGGAGCAAAGGCTACACAGGTGTCAGCGATGGCACACTGGAGCAAACACCACCTGAGTATTAACCTCCTCCCAAACCTGAGAAACAGGTACAGATTAGATTAGGGAACAAGAACAACCTATTGTAAAAATAAGTGTGAAAAATGGGGCACATTTTGAAATTTAGGGAATGTTTTTACATGTGAAACTTTACACTTAAAACCTTAAAGCATCAACAGATAATCAACAATAGATCTCAGAAGCAACCCACCCTGTTTGTAAATAGATCCTGAGTATGACAAAGCTTCTTCTCTAATCGGTTGCCCGTCAATCTTTGACACCAATTGAAATGAAATAAGACAGGCTGCTAAACTGGAAATTTTATAACATTGTAAATATTCCTTTTACTATCAGATGCAATTAGCACCATAGAAAGTCTGTATAGTGTCTAGAATACAGTGGATTTTAGTCTCTACATGGGACTCTAGGGCCCTGCAGGCTAAGGCTAAAGTGATGTGAAACCTTTTCTACTGCTATTGATTTCTAGTTTCATACAATTGTGGTCAGAACAGATACTTGATATGATTTCAATTATCTAAAATTTTCTAAGAGTTTTTTGCGAACTAACGTATGATCTATGGTAGAGAATATTCCATGTGCACTTCAGAAGAATGTGCATTCTTATGTTGCTTTTCCTAATTGATTTGGATACTTCTCATAGAATTTCTTCACTTCTAAAAAATCTTAGTTTTCTCTCCTCTTCCACCTGAATCATTTCTAGATTTCCATCTTTGAGCTCACTAATTCTCTCTTCCATATGGCCTCTTCTATTTCCAATGCTTTCTACTTTGTTTTTTCATCTCATTAATTGTGTTCTTCATCTCCAGAATTTCTGTTTGTTGGTTTTCTTTTTTAGAGTTTCAATCTCTTTGGTGAAGTACCTCTTTTGTTCATTAGTTTTCTTCCTGAACTCATTGAACTGTTTTTCCGAATTTTCTTGTACTCATTGAGTTTCTTCATGACAGCTGTTTTGAATTCTCTGTCAGTTAGACTGCAATCTTCTGTGACTTCAAGTTTGGTTTCTGGAGAGTTGTCATTTTCTGTCTCTTTTACCATGTTACCGAAATTATTCACGGTGCTTGATGAGTTTATCCTCTGCCAGAGCATTTGTGGAAGTACACATCTCTCTTATTTGGGTAAGGCTTTGGTTACTTTAATTCTAATATGCTTCTGGTTGTATTTGAGATTCTGCACTTTCTGCCCTCTGCAGGCATTGTCAGTGCCCTCCTTGTGCTGTTTGTGCTTCCAAGGTTGCTGGTGCCTTGCTGCTTATGATGTGGCTTCAGTCTTGAGTGTTGCCACCTGGGTCACCAGGCTGTGAGCATCTCTGCTGCTTCTGGGGTAGCCTTCTCATGTTCCCCAACTGGCTCTCTTTGGGTTCCCCATGGGCTCGGGTGCTGCTTTCCCATGCACTACCTGGGCTAGTGCTTCTTCTGGGTTACCTGGGTGTGCTGATGGTACTGCTGCTGGGGGCTGTGTTAATAGATGTTGCAGCTGCTGCCAGGGGCTTGGGGTCTTGTATGCTTCACCTGCTGCTGATAGGGCTGCTGTTGGTGGTGCTACAACTAGGGGCTGGGTCACAGGTTCTGCTGTGGTTTGTGAAGCCTCATGTCACAAGTGCTACAAGCCACTGCTGTGGGAGGTGGAGGCGCTCAGCCATGAGTGCTGCTGCTGCTCCTGCAGACTCTGCCTCCAGCGCTGGTGCACTTTTTGAAACCTCAGATCAGGGCAACATTGTCTCTGCTGGGGGTTTCCACGTTTTGGTTTGTCACCACCGGGGAAGAGGGAGAGAGCTGGGCCATCAGCACTGTTGTTTTCCTGAAGCCTCAGATTGTGGGCACACTTTGCCATCAGGGGGAGGGCAAGAGGTAAGCCGTGTCTGCTGTTCCTCCTCTTGCAGCCTCTGGTCTCTGGTGCCACTGCCATTTTTGAACCTTAGGTCAGGGCACTACTGCCACTGCTGGGGGTCTCTGCATTTTGGATCACTACCACCACTGGAGAGGTTGGGGCTGCTCCCCTAGTTCCACTGCCTTCCAGAGGTCCAGTCCACCTACCTTCAGATGTACAGATGCATGGATCTTTCAGACATTCTGATGTGCTCTGCAGGGAGTCATTTGTTGGCTAATGGATGTCCTACCTCTTGCAACTTACAGGGGAGAGAAAGGGGAATAACTCACCCTGCCATGATGGTGATGGCACTCCTCTAGTTTTCTTTTCTTTTAGTGTTCTTTTCTGGACTTGGTATCAGGTTAATGCTGGCCTCACAAAACGAGTTTGGAAATGCTCCTTGCTTTTTGATTTCATGGAAGAGTTTGGAAAGAATTGGTGTTAATTATTCTTTAAATCTTTGGTAAAATTCACCAGTGAAGCCATCTGGTGTTGGTCTTTTCTTTGTTCATAGATTATTGATTACTGAGTCAATCTCCTTCCTAGTAATTAGAGTGTTCAGATTTTCTATTTCTTCCTGATTCAGTCTGGGTAGGCTGTTTGCTTCTAGGAATTTTTCCGTTTCTTCTTGGTTGTCCAGTTTGTTGGCATACCGTTGTTTATGGTGGACTCTTGTATTTCTGTGGCATCAGTTGTAATGTTTCCTCTTTCATTTAAAATTTTGTTGATTTGGGCCCTCTCTTTTTTTCCTTGGTTACTCTAGCTACAGGCTTATCAATTTTGTTTATTTTTTCAAAGAACCAACGCTTAGTTTTGTTACTCTTTTTTATTGTTTTCCTGTTCTCTATTTCATTTATTATATCCTTCCTTCTGCTAAGTTTGGGCTTAATTTGTTTTTCTTTTTCTTGTTCCTTGAGGCATTGAATTAAAAGATTTTGTATTTGAGATGTTTCTTATTTCTTAATGTAGGCATTTACTGCCGTGAACTTCTCTCTTAGAACTGCTTTTGCTGCGTCCCATAAATTTTAGTATGTTGTGATTCCACTTTCATTTCTCTCAAGATACTTTTTTATTTCCCCTTTAATTTCTTCTTTGATCCATTGGTTATTGAGGAGAGTGGTGCTTAATTTCCCTGTATGTGTGAGTTTTTCAGTTTTTCACCTTTTATTGATTTCAAGTTTCATACCATTGTTGTCAGACAAGATGCTTTCTATCTTCTTGAATTTGCTAAGTCCTGTTTTGGGGCCTAAAATGTGTTCTATACTAGAAAACGCTCCATGTGCACATGAGAAGAATGTGTATGCTGCTGTTGTTCGATTAATGTTCTGTGTATGTCTGTTATGTCCATTTTGTCCTTAATGTTGTTCAAATTCTCCTTTTTCTTATTGATTGTCTATTTGTTTCGTTATTAATTATTGCATTATCTGGCTAGACGTGCTCCATTCCTCATCTTCTTTTCTGGACGTAGAGGAAGACTATACTTCCCAGTCTTATAATTAAGTAGGGTCTATGCACATTTGGGTTGACCATGGACTGTGGACAGAAGTGACATAGGCCACTTCCAGGCCAGTCCGTACAAGATCTATTTTGATTCTACACATTCTAATTGACAATGTGGCTGGAAACAAAGAAATTTTTGATGAAAAAGTCACATAACAGAAGGAGTTGTTTCCTGAGTCATTGCCTAGAAGTTGGGGGCCTGGACGGCTACTTGGCTGACACCAAATCATGACATCAGTGAGAATCATTCTTTTATTGAGGTAACAAATTATGATTCTGGATTTTTTACTGAAACCAGTTACCTTGGCTAATACAGTAATGCTGTGATTATAGTGATGTTTAAAGACGATAACTAGGGGCGGGCCCCGTGGCTTAGCGGTTAAGTGCATGCACTCTGCTACTGGCGGCTGGGTTGGGATCCCGGGCACGCACTGACATGCCGCTTCTCCGGCCATGCTGAGGCCGCGTCCCACATACAACAACTAGAAGGATGTGCA